GAAATTCACTTATTACTTTGTTGCTTTATGTGGATGACATCCTCATAGCAAGCAACAATGTCGAAGATGTTATGGAGGTGATGGTTGGACTTGATAAGGATTTCGGCATGAAGGATTTGGGAGTTGCCTTCATAACTTTTGTGATTGACATCCAAAGAGATAGAAAGCATTAAAGATTATGCTTATCTCAAGAGGCATACCTGAAGAAGATTCTCGACAAGTTTGGTTTTCCGAATTCAAAGTCTATTCTAGCACCGACTAATCCTTAGTACAAACTGTGTATGACTCAAATTCCTAGTATTGAAGTCAAAAGAGTCTATATGAATAACATTTCATATGCTAGTATAGTAGGTTCTTTGATGTACGATATGGTATGTATGAGGCCAAACATAACATACAGAGCGAGCATTCTAAGCAGATATATGCCAATCCTAGAAAGGCGCAATGGTAAGCATTAGAGTGGATTCTTAGGTACATTAATGAGTCTCTAAGCAGAGTCCTGATTAATGGTGGAGCCTGTGGTGATGATAGCAAAGTTAAAATCGAAAGATTTGTCGACTCTAATTATGCAGGTTGTATGGATTCCAGAAAATCTATTCCTGGATATGTGTTCACTATGTTTGGCACAACAATTAGTTGGAAAGCAACACTACAGAAGGTTGTTTCCTTATTAACCATTGAAGCAGAGTATATCGCCCTCAATGAAGCTGTGAAAGAAGCATTGTGGCTTGAAGGTTTTGCTAAGGAGCTGAAACTTCAAGGTCGAGTTATCACTATTAAATGTGATAGTCAAAGTGCAATACACCTGTCGAAGAATTCAGCCTATCATGAGCAAACCAAGCTCATTAATGTGAGGCTACACTTTGTTAGAGAGATAATCGAGCATGGAGAAGTCCAAAGGCTGAAGATTTCAACTGATGATAATGTTGCTGATATGATCACCAAGACATTGCCGAGTAGAAATATTTTCCACTGTATGTAGTTGATAAAGCTGCATGGCGAAAACTAGTTTGTTCCCTTGTTAATGTAGAATTTGTTCCTATGTGGATATTTTTGGTATTTGGATCAAATTCTAGTGTCGACAAGGATAGTTTCATGGTTCGCCAAGGGTTGTGCATGTTGGAGTCAAAATTTGTTCAAGCATACTGTCGAAATATGTTAGCTTTGTGTTTATGTAGCATGTCAAAATGGACATTTCTTGTAAGCCTGATTGTTGGGTTAGCTTAGTAGTCTATAAATAGACTAGTTCTCTCAAGTTGTTGAGAGAGGTTAATTGTTGGTGTTCACTTGTAATCTTTGAACCCTTATTGACAACGTGCATAGTAAAACAGTTTTAACCAATTCTTATTCTTCTTCCTTCTTCTCTATCTTTTGTAAAACCTAATAGGGTTTATTGTGTTTGTTCAAGAAACTCAATATTTTTCTAATATTTTTGATTTGTTCTTGACAACATCAATTCACAACAATTATTTTATGAAATTTAAGAAATATAATGAGGAGTTGACTTCTCTTATAACATGCAAATTTGTCAAAGTGATGTTAACTCAACAAAAGAAACTGACCACTTTAAGTTGGCGTTCTAGTCTTAATCTAGAGTATGAGGTGGTTCGATCCTAATTTTTTTTTCCGCTAAACAAGTTGATAACCTTACTAACATTTTCTCTTGTATTACACAATCATCTGTTGTGGAACCACGTCCTACTACTACAAACATTAATCCCTTTGTCTGCTTGGCTTTAGTTGTTCAATCTAGAGGTCACAATGGTTTTTATAATGGAGGTAGAGGAGGTCGTGGTAGCTGTGGTCATGGTCCTGTGAGTGCTTGTCATGGTGCTCTAGTATAGTGTTTTGATAATTTGGTCACTACCAAAACTGTTGTCCCCTTACACAAACTACTCCTCGCTTTGCTAATACAAATTTTCATCATCTCATTCCACAAATTGAAGGGCCTACAATAGTTATGAGTGATGTAGAATTTAACAGATATATACAATTTCAATTTTTCTAGCGGTCATTTACATCTTCTTCCACGACCACATTTGTCCAAATAGGTAATCCTATTGCGTGTCTATCCTCTAATTCTCGGTGTTGAGTTATTGATTATGACACTATTGATCACATGACAGGAGATTCATGTATTTTTCCTCTTTCAGTCATTTTAGTAATTATTCTTCTATTACTCTTGTTGATGGTTCCAAAACCCATGTTAATGGAAGAATGTGTACTACCCCAATTTCTACCTTACCTTTGTGATATGTCTTATATTTACCTCAGTTCCCTTGTAATCTTATTTCAATTAGTCAAATAACTCATTCGCTAAATTGTTCTGTAACCTTTTTTCTTCACTCTTGTGTATTTCAGGATCTGTTGACAGATAACACTATTGGTAGAGAACATGTATCTAATGGATTGTATCTGTCTAAAGAATGGGTTTTACAAGCATCAACAACTTCCAATATTTACAGCATGACCCCTTTTCAATTTCATTGTCGTCTTAGACATCCATCTTTAAAAATTCTGAAAAGATTATGTCATCTGTTAGAGTCAATATCAAGTTTATTATGTGAGTTTAGTTAGTTTGCTAAGCAACTTCAAAATGTTAATTTACTTAATTTAAATAAAAATGCTCAAATATTGGTTGACATTATTCATTCTAATGTTTAGAGTCTTTGTCCAATAACTTCGAAGTTTGATCATAAATATTTTGTTATTTTTATTGATAATTATTCACATGCAACTTAGTTATATTATACACAATTTAATACTTTTATAAAGCAACATTACACGATTCACCAAAATAGAGTTGCTATACGCAAAAATAGGTACTTTATGGATTGACTGAGCTTTATAAGCATAGATAATCAATTAGTGCGATCTATGAAAGTGTGCTAAAATAAATTCTAAGTAAATATTTTGTTAGTTATTTTAATCATCAAATATATCTTTAGTTGATAAATTTTGTCTTTAAATATATTTTTAATTACATATTTAATTTATAAAATTACTAATAAAAAATAAGATTAAATATGTTTTTTTTGTCCTTATAAATATTTGATTCTATAAAAAAAACATATTTTAGTTTCTACAAAAATTTTATGCATGCAGTTTTAGTCTTTATTATTTTCTAAAATTTTGAAAAATTATTTAATTATTCTTACATTTTTTAATTTTTGAATAATTTTTTTTTCATGTGTGTTCAAATTATTATAAAATGTTTATTTACCTAATTATATAATTTTTTAAAATGAAAAGAATTAAATATAAATTCTTTAAATTTCAAAAAATAATGATAAAAGTAATGAAAATCTCGACTTATAAATTAAATTTTGATTTTTTTTTTCGAGAAATTTTTTATAATGCAAAATAATTATTCAAAAATAGATATTAATTTAACAGTAAGGATTAAAACTACGTACATAACTATTTTATAGAAACCAAAACAATCTATATTTTTATAGGGATTAAAAACAAAATTTAATATTTTATAAGGATAGAAAAATATTTAACTCTAAAAAATATTTAAAGATGCATTTAGAATCTCATATTCATATATAAAATCTATAATGAAACTTCTTCATACGGAAACATTTACCCATTTAAGTATTAGAAACATGTCAATAGGACCCTTTTATTTTATTCCACAAAAGGATCAACATTGAAGTTAGAAACCCTTTTATTTTATTCCACAGAAGGAGCAACATTGAAGTTAGAACCCTTTTATTTTATTCCACAGAAGGAGCAACATTGAAGTTATAGACAAAAAAAAATTGCAGTCTGGTGAGAAAATTAAAAAGTAGATTATAAATTAATTTTTTTTCTAATAATGTGTAGGAGTTAGGAAGGAAATTATTAGAAATGTAAATGATTCAGGTGAAGGTGGGGATACATCTCCATCCCTAATCCTAACTCTCGAATTTATACTGGTTTTGTGGAGATATAAACATAAAAATTATTATCTTTTAATTAAATTAATACAAAAAAAATTGAAAAACATAATACAAATTAAATTAAATTATAAAAAATAACAAATAAATTTACATAAATATTTAAAATTATATATAAAGATATTATCATATTTTAAATAATCCAAAGACTTCATAAACAGATAATATGTTGATCAGTCTCACTCACAAAGTATTTTTAAAAAAACTTTATTTTTCATCTCCGTGACAGATAATTGTCTATCTTCACGATCACAAACGAAACAATTTTCATGGGATCCCCACTGGTAGATATAAGTTGAAATCCCTAGAAATCATTGAGCAAGGGAAGATTGATCCAAAAGATAAGATGGTCTCAATGAAAGGATACTGTGTAAGTTAGGTGTTCATAAATGAAGGAGACCTCAAATAAATTAAGAATGACAAAATAAAAATGGATCACATCAATTCCAAAACTAAATTTAATTTTCTTTATTATGTTTTTTTATGAAGAAAATAATAAAAGGTATAGTTAATTAATTATGCAAGTAGTATATAAAAGGGGATTTTTAAAAACGAGAGATGAGAGGAACAAACAACAATCATTATATCATGATTAAACTTATTTATTAATGTGACTATTAATTTCTCTTTTTTATTAACTTGAATTTCATCTCTTGTTAATTTAATCTAATGGCTATTGTTTGTTCCTCTCAACACTCATTTTAAAATCTCTCTTATTTGATATGTTCCATATATATATATATATATATATATATATATATATATATATATATATATATATATATATATATATATATATATATATATATATATATATATATATATATATATATATATATATATATATATATATATATATATATATATATATATATATATATATATATATATATATATATATATATATATATATATATATATATATATATATATATATATATATATATATATGTGTGTGTCAATAGTCTACCTTTTCATTACAAAACTGTGCCTAACGTCATTATCTCAATCTCAAGAATCACAAAAAAAGTTAATACTTAGAGAAGCTTTAAGATAATGGTTTTTCTACTAGTACTTTTAAGCCTCACAAAATGGTTATGCTACCATATTGTTAAATCATGTTATCAAACTTCAAACAAAATTAGAACTTATGGTTTCAATTTCTTTGATCTTTCATCTAAACCACTTCACCAACCTTCAACTTTTCCTACTATCATGAATTGTGATTTAAACGATAGAAAATCACAAACCCTTGTTTGTGACATTCATAGTGTCCTATTAAGGAACCATTCTTTCTTTCCTTATTTCATGTTAGTTGCCTTTGAAGGTGGTAGCATTCTAAGAGCTTTTCTATTACTATGTTCATGTCCATTATTATGGTTTTTAAGCTATGAACGTAAGCTTAGAGTCATGATCTTCATCACTTTTTGTGGACTTAAAGTAAAGGACATGGAAATGGTTGCTAGGGGGGTTTTACCAAAGTTTTACATGGAGAATCTTGATCTTAAGGCTTATGAGATTTTGGTTTCGGTAGGCTGTAGGGTTTTCTTCACTTGTGTGCCTAGAGTTATGGTGGAAGGGTTTGTGAAAGAATATTTGAATGGTGATGATGTTGTTGCGACAGAGTTGGATAGTTTAGGATGTTATTTTACTGGTTTGGTTTGTAAGGGTGGTTTGGTTGTTAAGGAGTGGGCTGTCATAGATTATTTTGGAGATAGGAAACCGGATTTAGGGATTGGAAGTTCATGTGTCAATGATCATCGTTTTATCTCTTGTTGCAAGGTACGTCTCATGCTATAGCTACATCTTTTTGCTAAATTCTCTTGTAACTTTAGATGTCGCAGATTGGAGTTCCTTCTGCAAACTAATGTCTATGCATAGATACTAACACAGTTTTTAAAAATTAAATGAAATGATAGATTATTATAGAACATGATTTTTTTATCCTTATAGTACTCTTAAAATTTGAGTGAGAGAAAGAGTCATGACCAAGTTATGAAGTATTGGATTGTTTGACTACGTTGTGGGAGAAAGTTTTACTTGGTACCCCCACCATTCATCTTCATACCCCCACGTACCTAGTAAATTTTCCGTTATACACGGCGACTTTTAAATTTGTTTCACTTTTCCGTTTTTCATTCGTATTCGCAAGTTTACTTGAATTGAGAAAACCGACGAGTTTTTGGCAATTATAGAAAAATTCATATTTTGGCAAGACATACTCATTAATTTTACTATTAAATTTACCTATCAATATCCAACAAATATCAAACTCATGTTTCTGACTGATTTCACTTGCTGATATCCATAAATATGATTTTTTTTTAAATCATTGTTAACAACAAATAGAGTAACATTTTGTAAAATGAATATAAATATAAATACAAATAATTATTTGCTAAAATAAAAAAAAGATGAGGACGAGTATTGATATCTTAGTATCCTTCTTGGTTTATATCCGTATATATATAATACATAGTTATATATTTTAATTTATATTATTATTTAAAAATATATATTTGTTGATTTTAATATATATATATATATATATATATATATATATATATATATATATATATATATATATATATATATATATATATATATATATATATAAATATATATATATATATATATATATATATATATATATATATATATATATATATAATTATCAAATTATTATGCATTTTAATATAGTGTTTGTTTATTTTATAATTCAATAATAAAATTTATGAAAACCTTTTCAATAATAAAACTTAATATAATATAATATTATATAATTGATGGATTTAACATTTACTATTAAGATGTTAGGGAGTATCATGGATTTCAAATATTTATAATTAACAAATATAGCTTAGTACTTAAATAATAGCTTAGTACGTGTCTATGTTGATGTTGCCATATTGATTAGAATTGATACCATATAACAACTATCTAACTAGTTATTACAAAAAATTGTATACCTATAATTTCATTTTCCTATTAATTATTCCATTATCTTCTTCTTCTTCTTTTTAAAAATAAATTAATTATTCCATCTTAATTCTCATCTAACTCCAGCAATTATGATAATGACAGGAAGCTTACGTGGTGAGCAATGAAATATGTCCAAACTCAATCATGCCAAGAGAGAAGTATCCAAAACCCTTAATATTCCATGATGGAAGACTAGCATTTTTCCCTACACCTTCATCAACTCTCTACATGTTCATGTGGCTCCCATTTGGAATTCTGTTATCAATATTTAGATTACTTCTTGGTGCAATTGTTTACTCCAAATATGGACTTGCATTGGTTTCATTTAGTGGCATTTTAATAAATCTCAAAGGCTATAATAATATTAGTAACACTACAAAAAGTGTTACTAATAAAGGTGTTCTTTATGTTTGCAACCATAGGACATTGTTAGATCCTGTTTTTCTTAGCATGAGTTTGAGAAAGCCTTTGACAACAGTAACTTATAGCTTAAGCAAAGTCTCAGAGATTATGTCTCCTATTAAGACAATGAGTTTGACAAGGGATAGAGAAAAAGATAGAGAAACAATGCAAAGGTTACTTAGTGAAGGTGATTTGGTTGTGTGTCCTGAAGGAACAACTTGTAGGGAGCCTTATTTGTTAAGGTTTAGTTCACTTTTTGCTGAACTTGCTGATGAGATTGTTCCTGTGGCTATGAATGCTAATGTGAGTTTGTTTTATGGTACTACAGCTAGTGGATTCAAGTGTTTGGACTCTTTTCTATTTTTGATGAATCCATGGCCTTGTTATAATATTGAAGTGCTTGAAAAGGTTCCAAAAGAATTTACTTGTGCTGGCGGAAAGTCTCCTTATGAGGTGGCTAATCATATACAGAGAGAGTTGGGTGAGAGTTTGGGATTTGAGTGTACTAATATTACAAGGAGGGATAAGTATATGATGTTGGCTGGGAATGAAGGTGTTGTTAAAGAAAAAAAGTGAAAAATATGGTGTTTGAAGTTTTATATTCAAGGTGTATAACTATGTTTTACTAAAAGGGTGAAAGAAAAAGAGTGTTGTTATGTATGAGTAATGCTCCTATGACATCTGGTTTCACACACTACACTGTATATTTATACCATGAGTATATACTTTACCATTTTTTAATAATTTTTTGTCTCACTTTCGAGTTCATGCCAAGATAAATCAATTGCATATCTACGGTGTATGGCATACGATGTAAAAAATGAGTGTCAACGTAGCAAAACTCATTATGTATATACATGTAAAAAAGTGTAAAATGAGTGTTGTATAGAAAATGTGGTACAAAAGAACCCTAATATTGTTGGATGAATGTATACAATTGATGTTTATTACATTTAGTTTTGTGGAATGATATATCAAATTTGAAAGTTCGATTCCATACTTCATCATAGTGTTATTACTTAATTATCTAATTCATCTAATTAAAATGAGTTGATATGTATCTCCCTTTTGAGTGGATGACTAAGGTTTTATCTATGTTTTATTTTTTATGTTTCTAACTAGTTTTTTAAATATCACACACATGTGCAAACCATCTATCTCCATGCCAGTTACATTATTCTCTGAAGCTCTTCTAATGGTTGAAGTTGATACTATCTTCAGCGGCATTAAGTTATTTTTGAAAGGGATTTCATGTGGTAGAGATGGTTTGGTAGCACAACATTTATTAGACGCATTATGTGGAGAAGGTCATGATGTGTCTAGAGATAAACTTACAAGACACAATAAACTCAAGCTGTATGACTTCTTGAATAACTGTGAATTTAGCTTTGAATCCAAGGACATTCTTTTCAGAATTTGCTTGGAGAGATTAGATGAAGTGTAACTGGACAAGTTTCTTTACTGATTCCCACAAATATGAACACAAGAATTCAAAGATAGTCTGAGCATTAAACGTATTAATGATGTTGATATACTCATAATCGAGATAGAGCACCTACTAGAATGCATCTACCTCTAAAGATATTTTCAATAAGCTTCTTTTGAGATGGTGAGAGGGACTTTCAAACTATGATAGTCCCTACACCATCAACTTCTATAGTAACACATTTCTCAAGGATTATCTATAGACCTTCATCAAAACCCTTTATTAAGACCGATGAATTAAAAATATATTTAACTTTTTCATCATTTAAATTCAGTGGAATCACCCTTTGAATATGGTAGGAAAAAATGTAATATTTTTGATGTGACACTTGATTCCTTCTTGAAGGAAAGTCTTTAACATTCATACTTATCTCATTGGAGCATTATCTGCACCACTGTTAGATGTTGTGCACATACCAGACTCTGATACCAACTGAAGGTGAGGAAAAGTACACAAGAAAGGGGAGTTGAATTGTGTTTTCTATTTTCTAACTTTACTTCTGATCTGAGTTCAGAATCTAAACTAGTGTTCAAATTCTGATTATATTAAGCAACAAAATGTTAACTGAAGTAAATAAATAATAATAAAAACACACAAAGATTTATATTGGTTCCTCCCAAACTGAGAGTAGTACAGTCCCCTTGCATCACAAGAGATTTTCACTGATCAAATTATGATTACAATCACTTATGCATTCAACATAAGACTTTATATTGCTCAAATCCTCAGCCCAAAACTTCTTGCTTAAACCCCCAAGGCTCAAGACTTCCTTGCTTAGACCATCAGCCTAAGACTTTACTGCTTAGTTCCTATGACCCGAGACTTCCTGCTTAAACCCCTCAGGTTCAAAACTTCTGCTCAAGCCCGTCGGGCTCAAGACTTCTGCTTAGATTCCAAGAATCCAAGACTTCCTACTCAGACCCTCGGTCCAATACTTGCTTGCTCAGGTTCCACGAACCTAAGACTTCTGCTCAGACCCTCGGTCCAAGATTTCCTTTCTCAGGTTCCACGAACGCAAGACTTTTACTCGGTCTAAGACTTCCTTGCTCAGGTTCCATGAACCCAAGACTTCTGCTCAAACTCACAGTCTAAGACTTCCTTGCTCAATCAATCCACTTGATTAAGACTTTCAATGCTCTAGCACATAGCAGGAGACTTACATGGCTCAAGCACATAGCAAGAGACTTTATCTAAACTGCTAAACAACATGTTCAACAAAATAGAGAACAAGATGTACTTGATACAAACATCAGAGGTACATAGAAATCACCATAACAAAGACCTAAAGCTCTTAAGATTTCTAAGATATTAAATGTTTAAAAAATCTTAAGGCTTTTACAATTTACAACAAATAACAAAATATTCTGCATACTTGATTGTGTTGCTTCATTGTTGATCTTTTTATTCCTCTATCTGGTTGATCCTTGTTAAAGATTTAGTTTGAACCTTCAGCTACTTATATAGCAGTTGCGGAAGACTAGTCATTGGAAGAGATAACTTGATCAAGTGTCTTTTCTATCTCCATAGTACAAGAGACGTTGAAGATAGATACACTAAAAGATCTTTGATCCATTGTGTAACATGTTTAACCATTGCGTCTACCATGAGATCTTGTACTATAGATCCATTTGTCATACCCTAAGTTTTTATTCTAAAATTCTGTTTTGCATCATCTGCATAGCATATCATGCACTTCATCTTGCATATTGTCCCATATGTCAGTCAGAATAACTTTGTTGGATTTACAGAAAAACCGGTCTAATTTTTTTTTTAAATCTGACCAAATGCTGTATTTTTTCAATATGTTTATTTCGTGCTGATTATTTTGGTGTGTTTATTTTATTTTTTTGAGCACTTTTCTGCCCGACTTTTTATTTCGTTTTTTTAATCATTTTTATTTAAATAATCATTTAATTTATATAGATTTAATTAGATATTTAACTATAATTTTTATTTTTATTTTTATTAATTAATTTTATTTTTAATTTGTTTATTAATATTAAAAAAAACACAAAAAACATGATTTTTGAATTCTTTTTATTCTTGTCTTATTATAAAAAACACAAAAACATGATTTTTATTTCTTCTAATTCTTGTCTTATTATAAATAACACAAAAATATGATTTTTAATTCCTTTTATTCTTGTCTTATCATAAAAAGTATAAAAACATGATTTTTAATTCCTTTTATTCTTATCTTATTATAAAAAACAAAAAAAATATTATGTTAATTGTTATTATCATTCTTGTCTATTTTCTAGTCATATATATGCATTATAAAAAAACAAAGGATACGCAAACAAAATTCAAAACAATAAGAGATTGGATTCAGAGAAAATAGAAAAAGTAAAAGGAAGTTAGAATCATGAGCTCCATCGTCGCACCGCTTCCAGAGTCATCCATGTAATCGCCGTCGAGAATCAATCACAACCGTTTTGATGTTGCACTCCATCAAGACTCTGCCAACACGCACCAACCGATGCCTCTTTTGCACTCAGATCTGACTCTGTTCCATGTAACAAGCTCGTGTCGTTACGACACTTCGATTTCGGTAACTCGTGCTCTTCTCTATTTTCGTTGGGTGTTTGATTTAATTTATGTTATCATCTGTCTACTTATTATGACTATATTGCAATTATGTGTCATGAATCTATGTGAATTTATTTATTTTAAATGGTTTGAGAGGTAGAGAGCATTGAGATCAAATGAGAGATTGAAGAAAATTAATTTGAAATGGAGCTTCCTTTGTTTAACTATGTTTTTATTTTATTTTAGGAACACATGTCAAGATGTCATTGTATAGTATATTAAATTTTGAAAAAGTAAAAAAAAACATTTGGTTAAGCTCTAATTTTTTTATCTTGTTATTAAATAGAAAAAAAAGGGACGGTGCCCCTTTGTGCCGTTTTCTTTCTATTTAATATTATTATTATTATTGTTATTATTATTATTTCCTTTTTTTTAATTTAAATTTTTATTTAGTTATTATTATTATATTATAAAAATTAAGATTTATGTTAATGGGCCTTAGGTTAATTTCTAACTTGGTGCCACACCCCATGTTTTTTTTTAAAAAGGCTACACATCCATGGTTTTTTTTTACACCCTTTTAATTTATTTAGATTTTTTTTTAAATTATTAGTTTTATTATTAATTAAAAGTCCTAATTTTGATTAATTAAATTTTTAATAGATTAATTGAAATTAAAAAAAAAATTCTAATTGATTGATTAGGTTTTTAGTGAATCTTAATTAAAATTTGATTAACCATGATTAGTTACTTGTCAATTTACTCGTGGATGTTTGACATGCCTATATGATTTGGATCTCCAAGTCCCCTTAGGTTCTCGATTCGACTTTGTCTTTGATAAATCAAATCAGTATTAGACATTAGGATCAATTATTGCATGATAACAATAAGACAGCTTTCCAATTCAATCTGATTTTAGATTCATATAATTAGGTTAGTTCCCTTCGGATGTTAAATAGACAACCTATAATTAGGTTCCTTTTTCTCCCATGAGAGAATTAGACATGAGTCATTCTTAGTTGAGATATAATTCTCCTACCCCATGACATAGTTGATAAAGATGTAGATTCTTTTCCACTTGAGAGATGTATGTGACATACTCGTCGATTCTATATCTGAGTTATAGCCCTTCTCTTAATGTGAAGCAAATATCCATCTTCCACATGTTTGTGGTAGTTTAAGTTGAGTATTCTTCTTAAGATGATAACTTGTATCTTCTCCTAAAAACCAATCAACAAATTTTGTGTTCCCTTAGTGAGGGGAACTACGAATGCTATGATTCTGTTCCCGTCAGGATACGTAGGCACGAGATGCGATGTCTTGGCGAACATACTTAGAAATAAACCTCATAGGTCATTCCCTTAGCAAAAGACAAGATAATAATAACATAATAAAATAATAGGTTCATGTAGAGTACTATAGATACTTAGGATGCTAGCATCTTCCCTAGGTATAACCAACCCCGAACCTTAGATTTTTTGCTTTGTTTTTGCATTGCATTTTTTTTAGTTATTCGTTCTTTTTCCCTTCCGTTGGATAAATTAAAGATCAGTGGTGAATT